AGCAGAACTCAGGGGGAGTTGGGGGGGGCTGATCTCTGCTCCGCCCCCATCTGGGGGGTTGTGGGGGCCTCACCTCGAGTGTCTATATTGAGCCGGGAGGTCAGATTCTGGCAGAGGTTGGGGGAGTTACAGGGCGGGGGGCTGCTCCATCTCCTCCCCCTACTGAGACGGGGTGGGGAGGGGCCCTGAACAGGGCCAAGCTGGGGGGCGATTGCTAATTTATTACATGTTCCCAGGTTAGAGCTGCCAGCTCCAGTCACCGCCTCCCCAACCCTCGGTGTCTCCTCCCCCACCCCCAGACTTTCCACACACCCACCCCGCTGTGCGCCCCCCCCCCCCACCTGCTGCTCTGGGCCAGGTTTAATAGGATGAAGTGCTTGGGACTCCGATAAGGGAAGGGGGGGGCTTGGCCAGGAGCTTGCGGGGAGGGGGGAGCCACATTCCTCCAACAGGCCAGAGACCCCCCAGCACACACGGGGGAGGGACCCTGGCTAGGCTGGGAGCCAGGACTCCTGGGTTCTTTCCCCGGCTCTGGGAGGGGAGTGGGGGCTGGTGGGTTAGAGCAGGGGGGGCTGGGAGCCAGGACTCCTGGATTCTCTCCCGCCTTCAAGGGTGTCTCACCGGTTGTGCAGGACACACCAGCCGCAGTGGGGGTCCCCAGAGCCCAGGCAGGCGTCACATGCGGGGTACTGGCCACAGGTCTCCACCGGCAGCCGCACGACCTGTGGAGGGAGGGGTTAGCGTCTGGGGTGATAGACCAAACCTCCTCCCCTATAGCAGCCCCTCCCAGATACTCCCCCGACATCGCCTGCCCCTCTTCCCTCCTCCACCTCAGGCCCCAGCCCCCTTGGCCCCCTTCCTCCTGCCCCCCTTTCCCCAACCTCAGCCCCCCGGAGCCAGGGGGCCCACTGCCTGCTGCCCCCTCTTCTTCCCCAGCTCCCTCGCAGCCCCACCTCTCCGCGGCTCAGCAGGTAAAGGTGTCTCTGGTCTGGGCTGAGCTCCATGTCCCGCAGCAGGGGCTGCCCGGGGGTCACTGGCACCGACTCGTACAGATGGGCGTCCTGGGGGCCGTCTACCCGCACCTGGGGGGGGAGCTGTGAGAGAGAGATGCCCCCAGCCCCCCGAGTCCCCAGCCCCACCTGAGCCACTTCCCTCGACCCCCCGAACCCCGCACCTCTGCCCTGGCCCCCCATGTTCAGCAGCATGCAAGGGGGCCCCACAAGGAGGTGTGGGGGGAGGGGAGACCAGCATTGGTGTCTCCCCCCACCTGCCAGCCGCCCCCTCCCCTGTTACCCTCCAGCCCAGAGGTTCAGCCCCACCCCACACCAGGCAGGCTCAACGATCCCTTTCATCCCCGCCAACAAGGGCCCATTGACTGGGGGGTCTGACCCAGAGCAGCCCCCCCAACAGGCCCCCAGCCTCCCCCTCCCCAGGGACAAAACGTCCTTTCAGAGCCGGGGGCCGCAGCCCCCCAGGGTCACCCCCGGGGCGAGGGGCCGAGAGCTCAGACAAGGAAGCCAGTGTCAAGGGAGAGGAGCCACCTCCCACCCCCCCATTTCTCCTCCATGCACCCAGCCCCCCTCAGCTTCTCCCCTCCCCCTCCCCACCAGTCTAACTGAATTAGCCCCATTTACAGGCTGAGGGGTCGCGGCCCCCCGGGGGTTCAGGAGTTCAGAGCTAGACAGGCGAGACCCCCCCCCACGTAACCCAATTCCCGGGTCAGGGCCGGGGCAGCCAGCCTGACACTCGGCCCCCTGGGACTCCCCAGGCCTGGCAGCTGGCAGGGAGAGAGGATGGAGGAGCTGGGGGGGGCAGGGCTGGTCTGGCAGGGGCTGTGGGTCGGGAGTGAGGGGCACCGGCAGGGCTGGGCTGGCAGGGGGCTGCGGGTCGGGAGTGAGGGGAATCGGCAGAGCTGGGGGTGGGTGGGGGCCCTGGGCACTGTCCCCTCTCTGCAGCGCGGCCACTCTAGGGTTAACTTTTGCCCAGACACATTTTCCACCCCAACCCGCCACCCTTTGATGTTGGCTTTTTAAGAGCCAGTTTGGAAGTAACTGAGTTGGTTTGCGGGGAGTTGGGGGGGGCCAGGAGGGGACCGCGCCCCATGGTGCTGAGCTGGCAGATCATCCACCCTCCCGCCACAGCTCTGCCGGCGCCCCTCACTCCCGACCCGCAGCCCCTGCCAGCCCAGCCCTGCCCCCACCAGCTCTGCTGGTGCCCCCCACTCCCGACCCACAGCCCCCTGCTAGCCCAGCCCTGCCCCCACCAGCTCTGCTGGTGCCCCTCACTCCCGACCCGCAGCCCCTG